AACAGCCGACGGATGCCCAACGAGGCAAGTCGGGCCAATCGTCTGCGCGTACCTGCGAGCGTGCGCACTGCTGTGTTCTATGGGGCAACGCTGGACAGCCGCTCTGCTGCAGCGTTGGCACGCCGTCGACCTGCTTTGTTGGTAGATCACCCTTCTCCAGTGCTGGCGCGGCTCCTCTACGCAACGCAGGTACGCGGTTGACCGAGCTGTGCTGGCGGTCGACCGGGCTAGCTGCAGGGTTGCTAGGTGCCTGATGTAGTCATTGTTGCCATCTCTTGTTCAATCATTCTGTAATTCCAACCGATTTCTCTCGCGATTGTGCAAGCACCAAGGAACCAGGCAAAGCTACGATCACCTCTAGTAGTTCGTGCCAACCCCCGTAGTCTAGCTCACTACCGTTGTAGAGTTAATCTCCGCAGGTGCAAGATATAGGAAAGGTGGCAAAGGGAGAAACCACCATGGCCCTACACTACTAGCTATACATGCAATTATATAAAAATAATATATATTGTAACACCCCCCCTTAATTGCATGCAAACTAGTTGGTGTAGGGAGCGCATCAATCACCGTGCCGTAGCAAGGCCCTTCGGTAGGATACCCGCCTGTTTTTTACCCCCTGCAGTGGATGCTCGGTGAGCGCGACGGAGGGCGACAACGCCTAGAGACGACGATAGAAACTGAATGAGAAACGACATGAAACACCCAGAGTTCTTTGTCTCTCTTTTTCTCCACCCCCTTAACCTTTCTGTCCTCCCCCCTTAACCTCTCTCCCTCCACCTACAGCAACACGTGCTGTAAGGAGAGAGGAAGAGGGAGGGGAGGGATGGGTTGCAGGTTGCTCACACCTACCACCCCCTTAACCTCTCCCCCCCCCACCCCGCCCTCCCTTCTGCGGCTTCCGCTGTGGGAAGGGGGGAGGGGGAGATGTGGGGGTGGCGGGTGTGAGTAGCCTGCAGCCCGAAACGTGCGCGACGGACATGGCGCAACCGGCGCGGACGGACGGACGGAAAAATAAAGAAGCGCATTTCGCCCTACAGCATGGGCGGGCCCATGCTCCTTAAAAGAAAGTATGTCCTAGACCGTTACATGCTCTGAATACCATGTCAAGCTAGGTGCTATAGCTTATGAACCAAAGCAATTAGGATTAGAGAGACGTTTGGCAAAAAAAGAGGGTTTGCAATATGGAGAGAGGTACAAGATATAGGAAATGCGGCAAAGGGGGGTAAACCACCAAGGCCCTACACCACGAGCTATACATGCAATTTTATAAAAACAATATATATTCTAACAAGTATTTGTGACTCATCCGTTCCGATTTGGTTGTTGATTGTCCAACATTTTTGTTTGTGGGGGAGGAATGTTTTGTGGGTATCTTGTGGCTTGCAGTTGCCATTAACTCGTGAGTGCTTTATTATAAACGTCCAAGACGATTTCCTAACGTTATGTTTTATATAAGTGAGTCGGTATTTTAACTTAAGTTATGTATGGACAATGAGTTTCCCGCGTAAAGCACGTGACCGTATCGCCCGTTTTTTCTTGAAAAAAAATGCCTCTGCCATTGTCATAGTTGGCCCTAGAATGCGTTTTCTTACTTTCGTCTGGTCGTCATTTCGATTGCAAGAAATAGTTTGAACAAATTTATATCGTTAAAATTGTAGAGTAAGCTGTCTGTGTGGCCTTTATGTGTTTGACGTTGCACAGCTCGGTGCAACACCTTACACGAATCAACAAAATGTGTAACCGCCAAAAGTCTGTTCCGTGCATCGTTACTACAGCGAATTGTGAATTAGAGATTGATCCGAGATGGTGTGATCTTAACAGCGAAAGGGTGTATTATGTGTTGCGTCTTTCACTACAAGTGGAGAAGTTAGGCTAACTGAGGTTGCGTTGTGTCTCAACTTGTTTCCGTATGCTTGGATTGCTGGAAGAAACAAGTGCTCTGGGCAAGTTAGGAACAGATACTGTATCAATTCAACGTCAGGCTACCCACCTGGAACAACGTGTAGGTGGACCGTGGACCACTTGTCAGAATGGGTGGCATTTTCCGTGGGGTCCTCCTGAACCTTGTACAGAGAGACGTTGGTGCTGTTGCTCCCGCCCTCGTCTTTCAGCCGTAGGACGAAGTCAGATTTAACCACATCCCATCCATCTTTGTTGGTCCTGCTGTCTGTCCCTATGGTCTCTCTCGCGATGTTTAGGGCGCCAGCGACTGTGATGCAGTGGCGAGGAGATTCGCTGTCATAACACTGGGTAGATTCTCCCTACCCCTCAGAGCAAGCAGAACTGACCTGCGAATTGGAAACTTGAGAGTGCAATTGTTCCGCCCTGCCCGCCGCATGCATCTTTTGGAGCGATGTACAGTATAGAACTGTGTACAAACAGACAGACACTTTTGGCGTGATTATTGAGAACAGAACAGGCTGGTTGGGTTGGGCTGGCATTGGGATGGGATGAGAGAGAATTTCTCCAGACCCCGAAACGGTGATCTGCCGTTGCACACGTGGCCTCGAATCGCTACCGTGGTCGGACAATTCGATGATAATTGCTCGAGTGGTCTTGCCAGAGGTTTCCTCTGGCATTTTTTTAATCCGGCACATTACCCAAAGCCCTGAAATTCTTACGTCGAACGTGTCTCTTCCCGCGAAAGTGTGGCGTACCCGGAAAGACGTGCACGAGGGTGACAACGTCACTATTCGGATACGCGACAAAAATCAGCACACTCATCTAGGCAAACAGTTGCGCTCAATTTCGGTCCATATCGTAACCAATCCGCACATAGTTATATGATTCTACGATCATATATTCAGTTGGATGGATGTCAGTACGCGCGACCAATTACTGAGTGCGCCTGATTGGTCAAATTTATGCGCAAGGCCTTTTCTGACCTTGCACGTCCAATCAGACGCGGTCATGTAAGATCGCGCTTATATAAAACCGCATATTTATCTATATGAGCGCGCATATGTGATGCTCGATTGTGTGTATGATCTATTTTATTAATCTAAAACCATATGAATAAATTTGAGAGACATTATCACTGCCAAAATTTTGCCATTATACGTATATCACGCTGTGCGATATAGGTATGCACAGTTTGATATAGGCATAATGGCAAAATGCTGGTAGTGATAACGTCTCTCAAATTTATTAACATAGTTATATATTAATAAAACAGATTACACACACATTAGAGCATCACATATGCGCGCTCATATAGCTAAATATGCGGTTTTGCACAATTTTACATGACCGCGTCTGATTGGACGCGCAAGGTCTGAAAAGGCCCCACGCATAAAGTCGACCAATCAAGCGCATTCTGTAATTGGTCGCGCGTACTGACATCTGTGCAACTGAGTATATGATCGGGGAATCATATAACTATGGGCGGCTTGGTTACGATATGGGCCGAAATTGAGTGCAACTGTTTGCCTAGATTACCGTGCCGATTTTGTCGCGTATCCAAACAGTGACGGCGCCGCCCTCGTGCACGTCTTTCCGGGTGCGTCACACTTTCGCAGGAAGAGACAAGTTTGATGTAAGAATTTCAGGGCTAAAAACCGGTTTTGGGTAATGTGCCAGATAAAAAAAATGCCAGAGGAAACCTCTGGCAAGACCACTCGAGCAATTATCATCGAATTGTCCGACCACGGTAGCAATTCAAGGCTACGTGTGCAACAGCAAATCACTGTTTCCGGGTCTGGAGAAATTCTCTCGATGGGATGATCATAGGGGAGGAGTACGCAGGCGATTGAAGTTACAGAAAGGGGCATGAGGGAGACAAGACAACCACTGTCTACCAGAAATTGCCACCTCGAGGTGAGGTGAGGGGGACCTTGTGGTTCAATCTTTGCTTGTCCATGGCATCTCCTTGAGCCATTCGATATGCTCTGTCAGGCTAGGTGGCCTCCTGCTGAAACGTCGTGCTGAGGTAGAATGTGATGCATATGCTGCTTCACATGCTTTTGGGCGACGTCAGGTTCTACATTTCTCTGGCGTTTACAGTTCTTGTATCGTGGTTCAGGACGTTCTACCACGGTGAGAAGTGGTTCTTGAAGTCTACCTCTCTGCACCGTGTTGAAACGAAGTTAACCGCAGTGGACGTATAAAAAGTAGTACAACCTGACGTCGCCCTTAACCATCTAAAGAACGGAAGCATAAATCCTCGACCCGAGCGATGTGGATCACGTGCTTCGAGGTTACCGTCCTGAATAATGGAACGTGTCCCCTATTTATCCATCTGTGCGTGAATCTCAAAGCAAGCTCGACGGCCTTGAAACACCATCTCTACTGGGTCCGTCTTCTAAGCGACTAGTTTGCTCCCACCACAACCTACCGCCAAGTCACCCCCCCGCCCGTATAAGGTATGATTTTTCGCACTGTATGTGTCGTTTGGAGGACACGTACGGTACATATGGTTCGCAGTTCCAACTCATCGCTTGGAATTTGTGCGCTGCGACTCATTCCACCTAGACTTTGGACATTAACGTTTTAATTCTAGACGAGCCGTACGCTATCTCTGTCGAGTCACTTACCAATTAGTGCTAACGGTAGCCGCAACCCCGAGGGCTCGCCGAGGGGTTTTATCTTCGTTGGAAACTGGAACGGTTATAAAGCGCGCGACCTGACTTCTTAACTTGGCGCCACCAGCCACCGACGTTCCGAAGGTTATGCGCGCTACTGCAGCAGCGACAAACTCCACGCGTATAAGCAGCGGCACGAGCGGGAACGCCGGAGAATTCTCTTCATTTGCATTATCATCATCGTCACCATCATCATCCCGCATGCGCACGAATTCCATGTCGCTGGTGCTCATTCAAGATCCGTCGCACGCCGAACCGAAACACCTGGACCTCGATTGGATCGACGCGCGTGTCGATCCTTCGCCTTTTAGGCTCGGGGACCAGGTATCTTCCGCGGGAAATGCGCGAAATTCTGGCGGAAATCGGGGGACAGAGCAAGAGCGGGAGGTCGCGGAGGGGGTAGGGAGCATGGGGGGCGAAATGGCGGAGCACAATGTTTTATGGGGCGCGGCGGAGAAGGCTGGTTCGGGGAGACGCGTGGGGCCAGGCTCGGGAAATACTGCGACTGGTTCGGGAATAGGTCTGGGAAAGCACCGCAGGTATGTGTCGGTGGACGTACGGCGGGGAACGGAGGAGGACCTATATGACGTGGCAGTCTTCGATAGGGTGGACGAAGAACCAATGCCAGGGAAACGCGGGATGGCGGGGGGACGTAGAAAGGGGGGAACCAACGCGCCGAGCGCGGTGAGCGCAGGAGCAAAGGGGGGACGGGGAATGGGGGATTGGGACGAGGCTGCGGATTGGGAGGAGGAAGAGGAGGAGGCAGGGGAGGAGCAATACGACGACAGCGAAGGCACGAGCACGCATCTAAATCAGCAGCAGCATCGCTACAAATCCGCTCGTTCCCTCCCGTTGACCGTAGCACGGAGGATAGGTGTTCCCGCCAATAGCGATTCGAATGCTGAGCCTCCCCTAGGCCCCGCGGATGGCGCTTCCGCCTCCTGCCACGTGTCCTATGGACCTTCCGCTTCTCTCCCCCCCCTCCGCTCGTACCACTCCGGACACGCCCCACTGCACGGGGGGAGAGGGCTGGACAGGGGGGAAGCGGGGGAGGGGGAGTTTGTTGGCGGAAGCAAAGGATGGGGGGAAGAGCGGCGAGGGGGGAGGCGTCCGCGTACTGGGGAAGGTCGCGCAGTCGGGGAGGAGCGTTCAACGGGGAAAAGCCGCGGGGCGGGGTATAACACGGAGGAGGCATGGGGGCGTGGAGCGTATTGGGAGGGGAATGGGGAGGAGCGGGTCGGAAAAGGGCAAGTAGAGAGGTGGCGGGACGAGCGGCAAGATCAGGGGAAAGTGCGGAGGCACGAGCGGAGGGGGGCAGAGGGGATGGGACGTGGGCAGGTAGCGAGGCGGCATGGAAGAAGCGGAAGCATTGCGTGTAGTGCGGAGCTGAGGGGTCTGTCTTTGGAGCAAGAACTGGTTGAGGAAATGATGCAGCAGCAGCAGAAGCAGGGCGGCAGGCAGACACGGTTACCAGTGCAGCACAAGGAGCAGCAAGAGCAGCAGAAGCTGCAGCTGCAGGAATGGCAGAAGCAGGCGGGGGCGGAGGTGGCGCAAGAAAGAAGCAGGTTGGCGCATGCGCGCAGCATGGGCGCAGCTGTCGCGGGGGGGGAGGGCAAGCTGCAGCACGTGATGCAGTGGCTGGCGAGCGCGCAGGGGCACGCGGAAGAAGGGGGGGATATCGGCGGGGAGGAGAAGGAGGAGGAAGAGGAGGAGGACGGTGGGGCAGCAATGCAGGCAGAGGCGGCAGAGGGAGAGGGTGCGGGAGAGGGGGCACGGGAGGTTCCTATTGGGGTAGTGGACTCGTACCGACAGAAGTCGCGTGTGCGGTGGGTGGTGGAGGGCGAGAGTGACGGCAACAGCAGCAGCACCAGGAGCCCTGGGGGCGGAGGAGCGAGGCCCGGTGGGATTCGCGCACGGGGTGGCTCTGTGTCAGGTCGGGAGAAAGGGAGTGAAAGTGATAGGGAGAGGGAGAAGGGTTGTAAGTCGGAGAGGGATGAGGTGGTGTCGTTATGGCTGTCTAGGAGCAGTGATGGCTGCACGGAGCTCGTTGGCAACAGCAGCCGCAGCGTGAGAGCCGGCAGTGGTACTTTCAGCCCTGGTGGCGGTGCTAATGGGGGTGCTGGTGGTGGTGTTAGTGGCGGTGCTGGTGGTGTTCTGATGTTGGACCCGAGCAGTGGAGTGGAGAGTCAGTGGGCACAGCTAGGCCGAAGCAAAGGCAGAGTGAGGCGCAGCCATAGCCTTGGCAAAGGGGTTCTCGCGAAGGTGGACAGCGGGGGAGGAGGAGAGGGATGGGGAGAGGGAGAGGGAGAAGGAGCGAGGGCTAGTGTGAGTGGAGGTGGGGATGGAGGGGGTGGAGGGGACAGTTGGAGGGGAGAAGGGAGGCAGCGTGGAGGCCAGTCGGAGTTGGAGGGTGCAAGCGAGCAGCAATGGATGAGGAGAGATGAGGGGAGAACCAACCAGCGTTTGCAGCTCCTGCAGAAGCAGAAGCAGCAGCAGCAGCAGCAGCCGCTGCCGCGGCCACAGCAGCATGTGCGGTCCAAATCCCTAGCATGGAACGTGGATGCCCCCCCTACCTTCCAAATCAAGCGGAGGAGTGCGGAGCAGAAAAAGGGAGACGCGAAGGGTGGTGGAGGTGGCGCGGAGGAGGACGAGGAGGAGGAGGAGGAGGAGGACGAGGAGTGGAGCAGCAGCGGTGAGCAGCAGTGCCCAGACGACTTGCGCCGGGCGCGCTCGTTGATCCAAAACCGAGGGCGGTCCCTGAGAGAAGCAGTCCTGGAGGAGCCCTCTCGACCGCAGACAGCAGGGCGGGTGAACCCCCGCCGCCACACGCGGTTCAGAGTAGGACCAGACCTGCAGTTCCAGGGGCACGCGCAGGAACATGAGCAGGGGCAGGATCGGAGGCTGGGGGGTGTGCAATCCAGAAGCTCTTTGCCTCCCAAGGTGCGGTTTCAGGGCGTGAAGGGACGGGATGGTGGGATCTGGCGAGGGGCGGGGAGTGGGGACGAGAGGGGAGGGGAGGTGGGAGGAGGTGCGAGGGATGGCAGGGGACAGGATAAGGGAGAAGAGGAGGAGGAGGTTGTGGAGGAGTGGTGCAGGGAGGAGGAAAGTGTGAGATCTGCAGCTGCTGGTGATGGTGATGGTGGTGACGGTGCTCGTTGCAGCATGAGCAGCAACAGCAGCAGTGGCAATCACGGTGGTGGTGTCACCGGAATGGCTGCAGCGGCTGCAGCCAGTGCAGCAGCTACAGCAGGTGCAGCAGGTGGAGGCGGTGCAGCAGAAACTGTGACAAGTGGTCGCATGGGTAGGCGTGTGCTTGTTCCTGAATCCTCCCCCAGCAGCAGCAGTACGGCCCAGGGCTCAGAAACAGGCGCTGGATTGACTGCTGTGTGCGAAAAAACAAAAGGGGTAGGAGCAGCAGGAAGTGGAGGAGGAGGAGGAGGAGGAGGAGGAGGAGGAGGAGGAGGAGGAGGAGGAGGAGGAGGAGGAGGAGGAGGAGGAGGAGGAGGAGGAGGAGGAGGAGGAGGAGGAGGAGGAGGAGGAGGAGGAGGAGGAGGAGGAGGTGGTGGTGGAGGTGGTGGAGGTGGTGGTGGAGGTGGTGGAGGGGTTGAGGACGGGAGCAGCAAGGCATCCGCGTCCTCGTCCGTTCGCTGGAGGTGGCCCCGTTCCTCCTCCCGCTCTGGCACCTCTGCCACTGCCGCCGCCGCCGCCGCCGTTGCTGCTGCCACTGCCCCTGTCCCTGTCCCTGCCCCTGCCGCTGCCACCGACACTCCCGCTGGCACTTGTGATGCTACCAGCCGCCCTGCCAGCCCTATTGAACCCACCAACGCTGCGTCTCAAGGCAACGGAGCTTGTAGTACCAGTGAGGTCTCCCGGACGTCACCAGAGCAAGGAGGGAGTGGCAGGAAGGGCGAGGGTGGGAGAGCCGGAGGGGGGGTGGAGGAGTGCAAGACGGGGGACAGGGATGGGGCAGGGGAGGGCAGGGAGAAGGAGGCGAAGGGAGGCGTGGATGGGGATCGATCAGGAGGGTCTGCTCAGTCTGGTCGCGTCTCCTTCTGGCGTTCCGCCCTTGGCCTCAAAAGCTCCGCCGCTGCCGCCGCTGCCCCTGCTGCTGCTGCTGCTGCTGCTGCTGCTGCTGCTGCTGCTGCTGCTGCTGCTGCTGCTGGTGCTGCTGCTGCTGTGGATGGCAGTGGTGGGATTGGTCGTACCAGAACCGAGAATGGGGGAGATGGAGAGGGTGGGGCAAGCACAGCAGGAAGGGTGTCAGGAGGAGGCGCTGCAGCAGGAGCAACAGGGCCTTTGGCTGCTCCCTCCCCTGCATCCGAGAAAAGCCGCTCGTTGAGCCCGCTGCTTGCGAGCAAAGGAGGAGGGGCAGCAGGAGCAGGCAGGTCTGGAGGGACAAGGGACGGCGCAGCAGTGGAAAGCAGAGGGTCAAGAAGTGGGGAGCACGTGAGAAGGCGGATGACGGGGGAAGAATCGCCTGCAGCAGGAGCAGGAGCAGGAGCAGGAGCAGGGAGGAGTTCTGGTGCTGGAGGGGCAGTGCAATCAGCTACTCGTTCCCCCAGCCCGGTGGCGTCAGGGCTGTTCGGGTTCATGCGATCTCCAGCAAAGGCAGCAGCTCGCAGTAGGGGGCGGTCGCTGGAGTGCCTGCCGTTCCTCGCCTCCCTCGCATGCTCCGATGCCCACCCTCTGCTGACGCTGGATGGTGATGATAGCAGTGACGCGTCTCAGAATGACCCACAGGAGGAGTCTAGTGCTGCTGCGGGTGCTGCTGCTGCTGATCCTGCTGCTGGTGGTGCTGGTGGAGGTGCGGGTGGTGGTGCTGGTGTGAGGGGTGATCATGGAGGGATGGGCGTGGAGAGTGGCGAGTGTGAGGGGGGAGTGTGGAATGATGAGGGTGCTTCGGAGGAGGAGGATGAGGAAGGGAGTGTGGTGGAGAGGGAGAGTGAGGGAGAGGAGGGGAGTGTGAATGTTATTGATGGCCAGGAGGGGGAGGAGTGGGGGGGAGGGGGAGGAGTGGGATGAGGAGGAGGAGGATAAGGTAGGGCAGGCAGAGAATGCTGGAAATTGGGAAGGTGAGGAGAAGGGTGGTGGTATATCAGAGGGTGTATGCACTGGTCGTGGATCCGTGGGTGTTGGGGCCAGGAGAAGAGCTAATAACGAGGAAGGTACGAGAGGCGGAGTGAGAGTGTCATGGCGACCCCTGCAAGGAGGGGACGAGGGAGTTGGGGGGAGGCGGAAGTCGGAGGGAGAGAGGTGGGAGGCAGCAGAAGCGAGGAGAGCAAGCGTGGGGAAGAGGGAAGGTGGGAGAGGGGCGAGAGCGCAGCGAGTAGGGGTGAGTGTGAGTGGAAGTGAGCCTGGGGACATTTACCCTGTGGTGCATCGGGAAGGCGGTGAGATGGGTGTGGTGGAAGGTATGGGGAATGGGGATGCGTGGGCATACAACCGCGGCGGGAACAAACCGGAAGAGGAGGAGGAGTGGGGAGAGGAGGATGAGGGGTTGTTTGAGCGGGCGAACAGCGACCGGATGGGAAGGCGTGGCGGTGCAGCAGAGAGGGACATTGCGGCTGGGCGCGAACAGAGAGTCAGGCGAAGCATGAGCATGGGTGTGGGCATGGGCGTGGGCGTGGGTGTGGGTGTGGGTGTGAGAAGAGACGCAGGGTTGGGGAGTGGTGGTGCTGGTGTGAGTCAAGAGGCGTGGAGGGAAAAGGAGGAGGGTAAGGGGTCGAGGAAAGGGGGTAGCAAGAGCAGAGGCAGCAAAGGGGCGAATAGGACTGGTGTTTCTGATCGGAGGAGGACGGAGGAGGTGGATAGAGAGGGAGTGAGGGATAGGAAGGAAGGGAGGACTGACGAGTGGAGAGAGGAGGGGGTAAAGGGAGCGGGAAAAGAGGCAATAGATGAGATAGAGGAGAGAGGGAGGGGGGGATGGAGGGGAAGAGGAGTGGGAGGTGCAGTGCTGGAGGAATGGCAGCCAAAGGTGCGGCCAGAATCGGCAGGAGGGAGAGCAGAGTCGACAGGCGGACGGCATAGCCGGGCGAAATCAGTCTCTCACGTGCGCCTTGGGCTATCCGCGGCGGATTCTGGTGGGAGAAATTTGCATGGGGGGGCCGAGGGAGGGGAGGAGTGGTTGGAGGAAGCAGGGAATGGGAGGGGTGCAGGAGCAGGAGGAGGTGGGGAAGGAGGCGGAGGGGGAGGGTGGGAGAAGCGGGGTAGAGGCGTGGCACGCACACGTAGCACTCATATTAATATTCGAGGCAGCAGTAAAGTCATGGGGGGCTTCTCTCGAGACAGCCTGAATGGTGGCGCCTTAGGGGAGTGGGTAGAAGGGGGAGGTGGTGGCGGCGGCGGCGGCGGCGGCAGCAGCAGGAAAGGTGTGATTTGTGAGTCGACTCAGAAAGTGGGGAAAGTGGGGAGAGTGGGGAAAGTGGGAAAAGAGGAGCAGGAGCAGGAGCCAGTTGCAGTTATGGACTTTACAGAGAGCTCACTGCCGGTGGCGACTGTCATAATGTCTCACTCGTCTGTCAGTGCGGCTTCCCTTGCTGCCCACCTCCCTGTTGCTGTGCCCGTTGACATGGCTGTGGAAGCTACCTCCTTTGCTGATGCAACCGCCTCCGCTGCTGCTCCTGCTGGTCGTGGTTCTGGTGCCGATTCTTTGGCTGCCGTTTCTCCAGAGAATCCAGCTGAAGGCAGCTGGAGGGGCAAGAGAACGACGAGGAGGAACAAGGGCAAGGCGCGTGCTACCTCTCTCTCGCCAGTGCCTTCCCCCTCCGAACTCCTAAACCTACAGCAGCAACACTCCATGCAGCAACAACAGTCACCACCACAGCAGCAGCAGCAGTCGCCGCCACAGCAGCAGCAGCAGCAGTCTCCCCCTCAGCAGCAGGGGGTGCGAGAGGCACGCGCCTCCCCCCAACCCAAATCTCGCACTCCCAGCCCTCCGAATCACCCCTCTCGCGCATTCACATCCGGAAACCCTGCTACCAGTGGCAGCAGCAGCAACGCCACCACTGACACACCTACAACAGGAAGAGCAGCCAGGGCCACAGGAGCAGTGACAGGATCAGCGGCAGCAGCGGCAGGAGCAGCGGCGACAGGAGCAACAGCAGGCAAGGCATCCATGGGCACGCACCGCCGAAGCAAGTCCGTGTACCAAACGGCAGGGCTAGGTCCGGAGGAAGGCGACGCGTCCACGCCAGAGGGTCGGCAGAGCGCGAGCCTGTACGAGCGCGTGTTTGGGCTGTGTGTGAACGTGCTGGGAGGGCCGTTTGAGGACGTGAAGAGCAAGTACTTGCTGCACAAGAAGGAGCTTGGGGAGGGGCGTTTTGGGCGTATTCGCCTGTGCGAGAGCAGGGAGACAAGGGAGAAGGCGGCGTGTAAAACCGTCAGCAAGAGGAACCTGCGCGTGAGTTGGCTTTCTTATGTGGTGATAGTGGAGTGGAGTGGAGTGGAGTGGGTGAACATTGTAGTCTCGTCCAATAAGGCCTCTTTACTTATTAACCAGTGCCTTGTTCCTACTCCTGCTCGCTCATTCATTTTTTATCCCATTATTCGCATTCTCCTCCCTGCTGCTGGTGCTGCTGCTGCTGCTGCTGCTGCTGCTTCTTCTTCTTCTTCTTCTTCTTCTTCTTCTTCTTCTTCTTCTTCTTCTTCTTCTTCTTCTTCTTCTTCTTCTTCTCTTCTTCTTCTTCTTCTCTCTTTTCTATCTTCTTCTTCTTCTTCTCTTCTTCTTCTTCTTCTTTCTTTCTTCTTCTTCTCGTTCTTCTTCTTCTTCTTCTTCTTTTCTTCTTCTTCTCTTCGTCTTCTTCTTCTATTCTTCTTCTTCTCTTCTTCTTCTTCTCTTCTTCTTCTTCGTCTTCTTCTTCTTCTCTTCTTTCTTCCTTCTTCTTCTTCTTCCTTCTTCTTTCTTCTTCTTCTTTCTTCTTCTTCTTCTTCTTCTTCTTCTTCTTCTTCTTCTTCTTCTTCTCTTCTTCTTCTTCTTCTTCTTCTTCTTCTCTTCTTCCTTCTTCCCTTCTTCTTCTTCTTCTTCTTCTTTCTTCTTCTTCTTCTTCTTCTTCTTCTTGCCTTCTTCTTCTTCTTCTTCTTCTTCTTCTTCTTCTTCTTCTTCTTCTTCTTCTTCTTCTTCTTCTTCTTCTTCTTCGTTCTTCTTCTTCTTCTTCTTCTTCTTCTCCTCTTCGTCTTCTTCTTCTTCTTCTTCTTCTTCTTCTTCTTCTTCTTCTTCTTCTTCTTCTTCTTCTTCTTCTTCTTCTTCTTCTTCTTCTTCTTCTTCTTCTTCTTCTTCTTCTTCTTCTTCTTCTTCTTCTTCTTCTTCTTCTTCTTCTTCTTCTTCTTCTTCTTCTTCTTCTTCTTCTTCTTCTTCTTCTTCTTCTTCTTCTTCTTCTTCTTCTTCTTCTTCTTCTTCTTCTTCTTCTTCTTCTTCTTCTTCTTCTTCTTCTTCTGCTTCTTCTTCTTCTTCTTCTTCTTCTTCTTCTTCTTCTTCTTCTTCTTCTTCTTCTTCTTCTTCTTCTTCTTCTTCTTCTTCTTCTTCTTCTTCTTCTTCTTCTTCTTCTTCTTCTTCTTCTTCTTCTTCTTCTTCTTCTTCTTCTTCTTCTTCTTCTTCTCTTCTTCTTCTTCTTCTTCTTCTTCTTCTTCTTCTTCTTCTTCTTCTTCTTCTTCTTCTTCTTCTTCTTCTTCTTCTTCTTCTTCTTCTTCTTCTTCTTCTTCTTCTTCTTCTTCTTCTTCTTCTTCTTCTTCTTCTTCTTCTTCTTCTTCTTCTTCTTCTTCTTCTTCTTCTTCTTCTTCTTCTTCTTCTTCTTCTTCTTCTTCTTCTTCTTCTTCTTCTTCTTCTTCTTCTTCTTCTTCTTCTTCTTCTTCTTCTTCTTCTTCTTCTTCTTCTTCTTCTTCTTCTTCTTCTTCTTCTTCTTCTTCTTCTTCTTCTTCTTCTTCTTCTTCTTCTTCTTCTTCTTCTTCTTCTTCTTCTTCTTCTTCTTCTTCTTCTTCTTCTTCTTCTTCTTCTTCTTCTTCTTCTTCTTCTTCTTCTTCTTCTTCTTCTTCTTCTTCTTCTTCTTCTTCTTCTTCTTCTTCTTCTTCTTCTTCTTCTTCTTCTTCTTCTTCTTCTTCTTCTTCTTCTTCTTCTTCTTCTTCTTCTTCTTCTTCTTCTTCTTCTTCTTCTTCTTCTTCTTCTTCTTCTTCTTCTTCTTCTTCTTCTTCTTCTTCTTCTTCTTCTTCTTCTTCTTCTTCTTCTTCTTCTTCTTCTTCTTCTTCTTCTTCTTCTTCTTCTTCTTCTTCTTCTTCTTCTTCTTCTTCTTCTTCTTCTTCTTCTTCTTCTTCTTCTTCTTCTTCTTCTTCTTCTTCTTCTTCTTCTTCTTCTTCTTCTTCTTCTTCTTCTTCTTCTTCTTCTTCTTCTTCTTCTTCTTCTTCTTCTTCTTCTTCTTCTTCTTCTTCTTCTTCTTCTTCTTCTTCTTCTTCTTCTTCTTCTTCTTCTTCTTCTTCTTCTTCTTCTTCTTCTTCTTCTTCTTCTTCTTCTTCTTCTTCTTCTTCTTCTTCTTCTTCTTCTTCTTCTTCTTCTTCTTCTTCTTCTTCTTCTTCTTCTTCTTCTTCTTCTTCTTCTTCTTCTTCTTCTTCTTCTTCTTCTTCTTCTTCTTCTTCTTCTTCTTCTTCTTCTTCTTCTTCTTCTTCTTCTTCTTCTTCTTCTTCTTCTTCTTCTTCTTCTTCTTCTTCTTCTTCTTCTTCTTCTTCTTCTTCTTCTTCTTCTTCTTCTTCTTCTTCTTCTTCTTCTTCTTCTCTTCTTCTTCTTCTTCTTCTTCTTCTTCTTCTTCTTCTTCTTCTTCTTCTTCTTCTTCTTCTTCTTCTTCTTCTTCTTCTTCTTCTTCTTCTTCTTCTTCTTCTTCTTCTTCTTCTTCTTCTTCTTCTTCTTCTTCTTCTTCTTCTTCTTCTTCTTCTTCTTCTTCTTCTTCTTCTTCTTCTTCTTCTTCTTCTTCTTCTTCTTCTTCTTCTTCTTCTTCTTCTTCTTCTTCTTCTTCTTCTTCTTCTTCTTCTTCTTCTTCTTCTTCTTCTTCTTCTTCTTCTTCTTCTTCTTCTTCTTCTTCTTCTTCTTCTTCTTCTTCTTCTTCTTCTTCTTCTTCTTCTTCTTCTTCTTCTTCTTCTTCTTCTTCTTCTTCTTCTTCTTCTTCTTCTTCTTCTTCTTCTTCTTCTTCTTCTTCTTCTTCTTCTTCTTCTTCTTCTTCTTCTTCTTCTTCTTCTTCTTCTTCTTCTTCTTCTTCTTCTTCTTCTTCTTCTTCTTCTTCTTCTTCTTCTTCTTCTTCTTCTTCTTCTTCTTCTTCTTCTTCTTCTTCTTCTTCTTCTTCTTCTTCTTCTTCTTCTTCTTCTTCTTCTTCTTCTTCTTCTTCTTCTTCTTCTTCTTCTTCTTCTTCTTCTTCTTCTTCTTCTTCTTCTTCTTCTTCTTCTTCTTCTTCTTCTTCTTCTTCTTCTTCTTCTTCTTCTTCTTCTTCTTCTTCTTCTTCTTCTTCTTCTTCTTCTTCTTCTTCTTCTTCTTCTTCTTCTTCTTCTTCTTCTTCTTCTTCTTCTTCTTCTTCTTCTTCTTCTTCTTCTTCTTCTTCTTCTTCTTCTTCTTCTTCTTCTTCTTCTTCTTCTTCTTCTTCTTCTTCTTCTTCTTCTTCTTCTTCTTCTTCTTCTTCTTCTTCTTCTTCTTCTTCTTCTTCTTCTTCTTCTTCTTCTTCTTCTTCTTCTTCTTCTTCTTCTTCTTCTTCTTCTTCTTCTTCTTCTTCTTCTTCTTCTTCTTCTTCTTCTTCTTCTTCTTCTTCTTCTTCTTCTTCTTCTTCTTCTTCTTCTTCTTCTTCTTCTTCTTCTTCTTCTTCTTCTTCTTCTTCTTCTTCTTCTTCTTCTTCTTCTTCTTCTTCTTCTTCTTCTTCTTCTTCTTCTTCTTCTTCTTCTTCTTCTTCTTCTTCTTCTTCTTCTTCTTCTTCTTCTTCTTCTTCTTCTTCTTCTTCTTCTTCTTCTTCTTCTTCTTCTTCTTCTTCTTCTTCTTCTTCTTCTTCTTCTTCTTCTTCTTCTTCTTCTTCTTCTTCTTCTTCTTCTTCTTCTTCTTCTTCTTCTTCTTCTTCTTCTTCTTCTTCTTCTTCTTCTTCTTCTTCTTCTTCTTCTTCTTCTTCTTCTTCTTCTTCTTCTTCTTCTTCTTCTTCTTCTTCTTCTTCTTCTTCTTCTTCTTCTTCTTCTTCTTCTTCTTCTTCTTCTTCTTCTTCTTCTTCTTCTTCTTCTTCTTCTTCTTCTTCTTCTTCTTCTTCTTCTTCTTCTTCTTCTTCTTCTTCTTCTTCTTCTTCTTCTTCTTCTTCTTCTTCTTCTCTTCTTCTTCTTCTTCTTCTCTTCTTCTTCTTCTTCTTCTTCTTCTTCTTCTTCTTCTTCTTCTTCTTCTTCTTCTTCTTCTTCTTCTTCTTCTTCTTCTTCTTCTTCTTCTTCTTCTTCTTCTTCTTCTTCTTCTTCTTCTTCTTCTTCTTCTTCTTCTTCTTCTTCTTCTTCTTCTTCTTCTTCTTCTTCTTCTTCTTCTTCTTCTTCTTCTTCTTCTTCTTCTTCTTCTTCTTCTTCTTCTTCTTCTTCTTCTTCTTCTTCTTCTTCTTCTTCTTCTTCTTCTTCTTCTTCTTCTTCTTCTTCTTCTTCTTCTTCTTCTTCTTCTTCTTCTTCTTCTTCTTCTTCTTCTTCTTCTTCTTCTTCTTCTTCTTCTTCTTCTTCTTCTTCTTCTTCTTCTTCTTCTTCTTCTTCTTCTTCTTCTTCTTCTTCTTCTTCTTCTTCTTCTTCTTCTTCTTCTTCTTCTTCTTCTTCTTCTTCTTCTTCTTCTTCTTCTTCTTCTCTTCTTCTTCTTCTTCTTCTTCTTCTTCTTCTTCTTCTTCTTCTTCTTCTTCTTCTTCTTCTTCTTCTTCTTCTTCTTCTTCTTCTTCTTCTTCTTCTTCTTCTTCTTCTTCTTCTTCTTCTTCTTCTTCTTCTTCTTCTTCTTCTTCTTCTTCTTCTTCTTCTTCTTCTTCTTCTTCTTCTTCTTCTTCTTCTTCTTCTTCTTCTTCTTCTTCTTCTTCTTCTTCTTCTTCTTCTTCTTCTTCTTCTTCTTCTTCTTCTTCTTCTTCTTCTTCTTCTTCTTCTTCTTCTTCTTCTTCTTCTTCTTCTTCTTCTTCTTCTTCTTCTTCTTCTTCTTCTTCTTCTTCTTCTTCTTCTTCTTCTTCTTCTTCTTCTTCTTCTTCTTCTTCTTCTTCTTCTTCTTTTCTTCTTCTTCTTCTTCTTCTTCTCTTCTTCTTCTTCTTCTTCTTCTTCTTCTTCTTCTTCTTCTTCTTCTTCTTCTTCTTCTTCTTCTTCTTCTTCTTCTTCTTCTTCTTCTTCTCTTCTTCTTCTTCTTCTTCTTCTTCTTCTTCTTCTTCTTCTTCTTCTTCTTCTTCTTCTTCTTCTTCTTCTTCTTCTTCTTCTTCTTCTTCTTCTTCTTCTTCTTCTTCTTCTTCTTCTTCTTCTTCTTCTTCTTCTTCTTCTTCTTCTTCTTCTTCTTCTTCTTCTTCTTCTTCTTCTTCTTCTTCTTCTTCTTCTTCTTCTTCTTCTTCTTCTTCTTCTTCTTCTTCTTCTTCTTCTTCTTCTTCTTCTTCTTCTCTTCTTCTTCTTCTTCTTCTTCTTCTTCTTCTTCTTCTTCTTCTTCTTCTTCTTCTCTTCTTCTTCTTCTTCTTCTTCTTCTTCTTCTTCTTCTTCTTCTTCTTCTTCTTCTTCTTCTTCTTCTCTTCTTCTTCTTCTTCTTCTTCTTCTTCTTCTTCTTCTTCTTCTTCTTCTTCTTCTTCTTCTTCTCTTCTTCTTCTTCTTCTTCTTCTTCTTCTTTCTTCTTCTTCTTCTTCTTCTTCTTCTTCTTCTTCTTCTTCTTCTTCTTCTTCTTCTTCTTCTTCTTCTTCTTCTTCTTCTTCTTCTTCTTCTTCTTCTTCTTCTTCTTCTTCTTTCTTCTTCTTCTTCTTCTTCTTCTTCTTCTTCTTCTCTTCTTCTTCTTCTTCTTCTTCTTCTTCTTCTTCTCTTCTTCTTTTCTTCTTCTTCTTCTTCTTCTTCTTCTTCTTCTTCTTCTTCTTCTTCTTCTTCTTCTTCTTCTTCTTCTTCTTCTTCTTCTTCTTCTTCTTCTTCTTCTTCTTCTTCTTCTTCTTCTTCTTCTTCTTCTTCTTCTTCTTCTTCTTCTTCTTCTTCTTCTTCTTCTTCTTCTTCTTCTTCTTCTTCTTCTTCTTCTTCTTCTTCTTCTTCTTCTTCTTCTTCTTCTTCTTCTTCTTCTTCTTCTTCTTCTTCTTCTTCTTCTTCTTCTTCTTCTTCTTCTTCTTCTTCTTCTTCTTCTTCTTCTTCTTCTTCTTCTTCTTCTTCTTCTTCTTCTTCTTCTTCTTCTCTTCTTCTTCTTCTTCTTCTTCTTCTTCTTCTTCTTCTTCTTCTTCTTCTTCTTCTTCTTCTTCTTCTTCTTCTTCTTCTTCTTCTTCTTCTTCTTCTTCTTCTTCTTCTTCTTCTTCTTCTTCTTCTTCTTCTTCTTCTTCTTCTTCTTCTTCTCTTCTTCTTCTTCTTCTTCTTCTTCTTCCTTCTTCTTCTTCTTCTTCTTCTTCTTCTTCTTCTTCTTCTTCTTCTTCTTCTTCTTCTTCTTCTTCTTCTTCTTCTTCTTCTTCTTCTTCTTCTTCTTCTTCTTCTTCTTCTTCTCTTCTTCTTCTTCTTCTTCTTCTTCTTCTTCTTCTTCTTCTTCTTCTTCTTCTTCTTCTTCTTCTTCTTCTTCTTCTTCTTCTTCTTCTTCTTCTTCTTCTTCTTCTTCTTCTTCTTCTTCTTCTTCTTCTTCTTCTTCTTCTTCTTCTTCTTCTTCTTCTTCTTCTTCTTCTTCTTCTTCTTCTTCTTCTTCTTCTTCTTCTTCTTCTTCTTCTTCTTCTTCTTCTTCTTCTCTTCTTCTTCTTCTTCTTCTTCTTCTTCTTCTTCTTCTTCTTCTTCTTCTTCTTCTTCTTCTTCTTCTTCTTCTTCTTCTTCTTCTTCTTCTTCTTCTTTCTTCTTCTTCTTCTTCTTCTTCTTCTTCTTCTTCTTCTTCTTCTTCTTCTTCTTCTTCTTCTTCTTCTCTTCTTCTTCTTCTTCTTCTTCTTCTTCTTCTTCTTCTTCTTCTTCTTCTTCTTCTTCTTCTTCTTCTTCTTCTTCTTCTTCTTCTTCTTCTTCTTCTTCTTCTTCTTCTTCTTCTTCTTCTTCTTCTTCTTCTTCTTCTTCTTCTTCTTTCTTCTTCTTCTTCTTCTTCTTCTTCTTCTTCTTCTTCTTCTTCTTTTGCCTCCATGTGCCATGCGGTGGTGCAGTGTCAGGCGGATGTGGAGGACCTACGGAGGGAGGTGCAGATTCTGCGCATGCTCAAGGGCCATCCCAACATTGTCAAGCTCTTCCACGTCTTTGAAGACGCCGAGGTACTTCCCCCTCCACTCACTCACTCACCTCCTACCAACCCTTCTGCTACCTGCCTCTCTCATGCCATCCTTCATCCGTCTTCCGTCCATTCTCCTGCCTACCCTTGTCACATGGCGTGTACCTAGCGCTCCTAGACAGAGCACACTGTGTTCTTTGTGGCTATGATGTCTACTCGTCGACCATCACACTTTTAAGCGTCCACCACTCACCCTGTTCACCCGGAGCATCTATGGAATGTGGTGCTACTTTGCACGAAGCAACCCCAAACAATCCCAAGCAAGCAGGCTCCACTTGCCACCCAAGATGCATTCACTCACTTCCGCATGCATTCACCCCCTGTGCCACCTTGTCGACTGTCTCATGTCAACCGTCTCATGTCAACCGCCATTCTGAACTCAAACACCCTCCTTGCTGCCTGCTATTCCCTTGCTCCCCTTCTCTCCCTCCTACCCACCCAGTCTGCATTGCCTTAACGTGTTCCCCACTTCACTCCCCCACCTTCCTCCTCTCCCCTCCCCCTCCTTTCCCCCCACCAGGACGTGCACATGGTGATGGAGATGTGTGCGGGGGGGGACCTGTTCGACCGCGTGAAGGCGCGGCTCTTCTACCCGGAGCGCAATGCAGCGCGGGTGGTGGCGGAGGTGGTGGGCGTGGTGCAGCACTGCCACCGCCTGGGCATCGTGCACCGCGACCTCAAGCCCGAGAACATCCTGCTGCTCAACCCCCACTGCGACGTCTCGCTCAAAGTCATTGACTTTGGCATCTCGGGGATGCTTTCTCCCGGTGAGTGTGCCGCCTGCTGCTTCTGCTTTATGAGGCGTCTGGAAACGTAATTCCAGTTGAGATATGAATCGATTACTCCTCCTGCTCAACCCCGACAGAGACTGTGATGTCTCGCTCGAAGTCATTGCCTTTGGTATTCTGGGGATCCTTGTTCCCATTCACGTTGCCTGTCTGCCTGCTCCTCCTGCTGCCTGCCTGCCATCTTTGTTTCTAAGACACGGTTCTCCTCCTGGTGATCTGACCTCCCATTTCACCCTCCCACGAACCCCTTGCTCCCCCTGCCCTCTCTCCAAACGTACAACAATCCAAATCATCCCATCCCCCTCCCCACCCCAGGTGAGCAATTCAACGAGCGCATTGGATCGCCTTTCTATATGGCGCCAGAGGTAGTCCAACGATCCTACGGGTGCGAGGCGGACATCTGGAGCGCGGGGGTCATTCTCTACATCCTTTTGTGCGGCCGCCCGCCATTCTGGGCGCCCACCACGGATGGGGTGTATGAGAGTATCAAGGCGGGGCGCCTCAACTTCTCCTTCCCCCCGTGGCCCTCCGTGTCTGCTCACGCCAAGGACCTTGTGGCGCGCATGCTCACGGTCGATCCGCGGAAACGGGTCACAGCTGAGGGGATTCTCGGTGAGTGGGGGGAGTGGGATTCTCGCGGATGCTGGTTTGATTTCTTTTGAGACGTCTCAAAAGGCGCCAAGAACCTTGTGGCACGCATGTTCACGGTCGATCTGCGGAAACGGGGCACTGCCGAGGGGATTCTCGGTGAGCGAAGGGGCGGGATTGCGGTTTATTCTGTGCTGGTTTGCTTACCTGGTTTGCTTTCTTTTGTGCTGGAGTGTGCTGTGCTGAGTATTTTTGTGTGGATAGCCTTCGCAGCAGAGGAATTGGAATAATGTGTTTGACACAGTCGACGTACTTTCTCCTGGTTCCTCTGGACATTACCCCTCTTGGCTAGCCTTCCATACTTACTAAGCTTAGCCTTTACCTTCTATGGCTTAAAGAATTTCCTTGTTTCCCTTCCCGTTCCTTCCCACCCCATCCCTTCTCCTCCTCTGCATCCACTGCTCACTTCATGCCCCTGTGGCTTTCAGAACATCCATTCATTACCTCCAACTGTGAAGGCCAGCTGTGAGCAGCCCAAAATAAGGCAGCTGCTGGTATGTTCTGATCTGAACCCCTGCGCAGCCATTTCCCGTGATAACCACAAGCCTTTCTTCGGCGTCAGATAAGGAGCTGTTGAGTGCAGCTTGTTAGTGTAAGTTGTAACCTGTCTGGCTTGAACGGTTGTGATGTGACTTGCGAATGTAAATAGTACTGGTATGAATATCCATGCAGTGTGTGGTCGTGGAAAGATGGATTAATGCTTGTGTCAGTGAGTGCCGAACAAGTGAACCAGATTGCATATGTCAAGCAAACAATTTTTTTTTGCAGAAAGGCAGCAGCAATGATGTATAAGACACAGCCCAACAAAAGGGTTTTTGGCTGATTGACCAAGGCCTCTTCAAGGCTAGCCAATCATGACAATGGTAAAGGCTGCTAAACATGTGATAGATGTGTGCAAAGCAACAACTCATCTTGTACAGGCAACATGTTTATGAGTTTTGGATCATACGGTAAATGAGGCGGTTCGTACCACATACAGAGGGCACACAGTCTTCTTCCCACACGACCCATTCACGCAAGTCAGGTTACACTACAAAGACCTAGCTCCCACAGTGGTCACTAGAGGCATGGACAATCGGTAACGGATCTGGCAAACTTCGAGTCGAGCAGTAACGGAATGTGTGTTTCGTGGATGATTCAACTTGACACATTCCGCCGCTGCAGCCAATCAGATATGGCAGCATGAGATCAGAGTTGTGAGTCAACTATTTTACTTTGACTGGTTTGTTCTGGGAGAAATGAAGATTGGGGGAGGCCAATCAACCACGAAGGACGAATGTAGCTCAACTTTGATGTGCATTTGAATCAACGTTTGTTCCGCAACTTGTAAATATAAGCTGAACAGTGTATAACTAAAACCTTGTCTGCCCACAAGGTGCCCATGTTCAGACAGAAAGTATGCGAAGTAGCCAAGGTCGACAAACTTGGCAGCATTCGAGGACTGTATGCAGCACATCCACACCCACCTTCAACAACTTCGCGATGAAGAAGTAGACTACATTCATTCAGGGGCCTATCCGAGTGTGTTGCGCATTTTGCATTTCCAGTTCAGCTCACAACCCATATGTGATCATTTACAGTACGTCAACAAAATGTTGGAAGTCAACACTTGCAAGCCTAGTGGCTACTCGAAGGAAGACAAATACGTGTAGGGACGGAGTCTAGAATACTTACGAATAAAGAGAGTGCCCAAAGAAAACATGTTTTAACTTTGAGCTATTCGATATTGCACTAGACTGTTTCTGCTCTGTCCTCCCCTGCTCCCGAGTCCCGACAATTTGCCCTGACTCCGCCCACCCAAACCCTCCGTCATCTCCCGCACCTCCCGCCCAACCAAACACCCTGGGGAGGAAACAGAGAACCGTCCGTTTTGTACCTACCAGGCGCGGGACTCCCTCCCCCTGCATCGATGACGCCGCACTGATGTCGCCGTTTCCTTTGCCATTGATGCGGCTTGAGGCGGCGTGCAGGAGTTGAGAGCAGAGCACACCACACTAGAGTTCGACCCCACCACTTGTTGGTCACAAGGGCTGTGTAGGACGATACTACCAATAAAACAAGGCACGACTGAAAAGATGGATCATCTTATGCTTTCTGGAAGAGCCAGCTTCTAATTACCTTGCGAGTCCGCTAAACGGTTCGCGGTGTTGGTAATGGTCGACGAACGCTTTCGCGAATCCAGCCTTATTTAACGAGTCTTTCATAACCTACCGGAAGCCGCCTCACCGCATCGCAAGAGCCATTTTCTGCTCCGAATCTACTGCAATCCGAAACTATTCAGAATCTCATTCAGCCACCCGCCACAGTGCGGCATTGCCTAGAAGATGGCGTTTCCCGCGGATAATATGCAGCTCATACGGCGAAAAATATCACAGCGGCGAATGCGCATTGTTCAGCCCCTCTGCTTTCTCCTCCTCCTGTCCATCTCCCACCTCCCTTCCTCATCGGCTCGCCACACGGCAAATTCTGCGACAGGATCGTCTCCTGCGACAGGCGACGTGCTCATTCGCATGCAGCTGCAGACCCAGGGGATCGGCGACGAGAGCAACGATGATGCGTCGCAGTCCCTTCCCTTCAAGCAGCACCAGTCGCCCGCATTTGAGATTCACCCCTCGCAGGCCGCATCCCCCGTCGACGCTACTTCCTCCGCCAAAGAGGAAGACGAGAGGAGCGGAAATCGCGAAGAGGCGAGCCTAGGTTGGGAGGAGTCCGAGCCTCTTGTTGGCCCCCCCCAGCGGAGCGCATTTGAGAGCCTGGTCTGGGAGCATCTCTCCGACGGCCACGTGTCATGGGACTTGATTGATCCGACGGTCATCAGGCAATTCGCCAGGAAGAGCCACCAGCAGGTGCGCCGTGAATCGCGGAAAAACGCTCAGCGAATGGATCAAGCCGGGCGGCGATTGCTCCCAGCGGGGTCGACGGCCACATCGGACGATTCGACAACTTCGGCATTGCCGGAAGATGCGGCGTGGAATCCAGCAACGGCTCCTCTGCACGAGCAGCGCGCTTTCCTGGATCACATCCTCTCGTCACCGGAATCTCCATTCCGCATCTCACGGCCCCCCGTCCAACGATTCGCCAACGCCAGCACCGGCAACAACGGCGGCAACGGCGGTCGTGTGTTGCAAGACGATGTGGCTCCGAAGCCGCCCGTGAGCGCCGGGTATCGCGGGCTGACGGCGCCGGGGCTGAACACGGGTCCGTCGCCCGCCGACATCAACATCACGGCGTATCGCTACGACAGTTTGCCCGTGCGCGCGTGGGTGGACTGGCGCTTCTCGCGCTTCATGACTCCCATCGCCAGCCAAATCAGGGTGCGCGCATACCCCAGCGGGAAACCTTTCCAAGCGCGGGTTCCCATTGCAAGTGCTGCATTTTGAGTCGAGTCGCATTTTTTCCCCCCTAATTTCCGCTTACGAAGCTAATGCTCTCTTCTCTTCCTCTACCTCCTCGCCTCCCCTCTCCGTGCTTCTCCTCCCTTTGTGCCACGTAACCTCGTCTCACGTGCTTATCTGCTGCAGTGCGAGAGCTGCTGGGCGCTAACCGCAACGGACGCCGTCGCGCTGATGTGGGGCATCGCGACTTTCGCGCGCGACGCCGTGCCGCTCTCCGCGCAGCAGGCGTGCGACTGCGCGGCGGACCGCTGCTGCTCCGGGGGGTGGCCGGAGTGGGTGCTCGCGTACATCGTTTACAACGGCGGAATCGCGAGCAACGACGTGTATCCCTACACGGCGAGCGACCAGCCGACGTGCGACGCGCAGAGCGCGGCCGTGAAGCAGGCGCAGATCACGGGGTGGGAGCAGGTGCCGGCGTTCGACGTGCAGGCCATGCTGCAGGCCGTCAGCCAACACCCCATCATCGCCTTCGTCGACGCCGCCACCAACGATTTCCGGGTCCGCTCTCCGTTCTTTGCTCTCCGCTCTCCGTTCTTTGCCCTCCGCTCTCCGTTCTTTGCTCTCCGCTCTCCGTTCTTTGCTCTCCGCTCTCCGTTCTTTGCTCTCCGCTCTCCGTTCTTTGCTCTCCGCTCTCCGTTCTTTGCTCTCCGCTCTTTGCTCTCCGCTCTCCGCTCTTCGCTCCGCTGCCTGCCTGCCGCGCGCGTTTCCTTCCGCTTCGCCGCTCTCCATTCCTCGCTCGCTTCCTGCTTGCGTGCTCCTCTCTCCCGCGCTCTGCACAGTGTTCTGACGGCTTCTCTCTTCTCGTCCGCTCCCCCCGCCCCGTTCCCCTCTCTGTCTTCCTGGTTCCCTCTCCGCGCGCCGTCTCCCCTCCCCAGATGTACCGCGGCGGGTTCTACAACGGCAACTGCAGCGCGGACGTGAATCACGCCGTGCTGATCGTGGGGTACGGCACGGACAAAGTGAACGGGCCGTACTGGGTAGTCAAGAACACGTGGGGGCGCGCGTGGGGCGAGAACGGCTACATGTACCTCGCCATGACCGCCGGAGCCGGGAAATGCGGCATCAACCAGTGAGCCCCGCAGCGCAGCCTCGCTTCCGTCTGTTACGCGCTGTTGCCAAGCTGCCTTGTACCTGTCGCCACGCTGTCGCCTAACTGCTTTGGCCTTGCCCAATCGTTCGCCCGTTTCGCACCATTCTTCTCATCACCGTCCCTTTCCTCCCCTTCCCACCCTTGGCCTCCCCCACTTTGTTCCCCCCCCTCCCATCCCCCCATTCTCCCAGAATCCCCGCAATCTACCCGGTCTTCTTCCCCAGAGCCCCCCAAAACGCCATGTACCCGATCGGGCCGCTCAAGGACAACCCTAACTACGGCCCCGTGCGCGCCTCGCTCCGCAACAGCACGTGGACCCCGGACCCGTCCGCGAACCCGTGCCAGTCGCGCATCAACCCGTGTGGCGGCGGTGCGTGCTACGTGCTGGGCGGGCTCGCGCGCTGCTTGTGTCCGCGCAATTTCGTGGAGCGCATCGGCGTACCGACGAGCAAGTGCGTGACGCGCGAGCCGTGCAGGAAAAGCGTGGTGAACCCGTGTGGCGCAGGCACGTGCAACAGCTTGAAGGCCGCCGGGCTGTACACGTGCTCGTGTAATCAGGTGCGCTGCCTGTGGGGAGGATCCGGGGGTCTTGTGGGGGGGGAACATGCGATCTGGGGCTGTGAGTATTGGGAAATTGGCATGAATATGTGCTCCTCTTTTTTTTTTCTTTCTTCCCTTTCTTTCTCTCTTTCTTTTTTCCCACTTTCTCTTGCTAGCACACAAACTTACCCCCATTCTCCTCCGTCTCTCTCACTCGCAGGGCTATGTCATCGGGTCAAGGGTGGACGGCTCTCCCACATGCGTCCCCGTCGCACCAGCAGGCGGCTCACTCACATACACGTCGCTCCCGGGCGACACATGCCAGTCCGTGTCCACGTCTCTCTCCATCCCAGCCAACACCCTCCAGCGCCTCAACCCCTTCCTCGACTGCTCCGCAGAGCTCCCGGCGGCCATGGTTCTCGCCGTCTCAAACCCCACGCAGACCACCACCAGCGGGTGCACAACAACTACCTATGTCTCCCCGAACGACACGTGTGACAGCCTCGCCACGCGGCACTTTCAGGGCAATCAGGAGAAGCTGAAGAAGGCGAATCCCGGGCTCAAGTGCGAGAGCCTGTATGTGCAGCAGCAGGTGTGCGCAGAGGCGCTGGGGACGCTCGGACAGGACGTGTCTCCACTGGTGTGCGGGCTCACGTACACAGTCACTGCGGGGGACACATGCGACACTATCTCGAGCACTTATGGCCTCAACGGCACGACCTTCTACATGTGAGTGCCCGCTGTGCCTTGTTTGTCTGTGTGCCAGTGCGCCAGCCAGCAATCGTTTTAGATCCTGTCAGCTAGCTGTCAGCTCTCCTTTTACTCACCGCCAGGGATTCTGTGTGTGACCTTTGCTCCATGATTTTCTGTTCAGCAGTGGATAGGAGTCCTCATGGCCGTTGTGTTGTCCTCTTCTGTCCGTCTTTCTTGATGATCTTATCCTCGTTACAGGCTCAACCCAGGGCTGGACTGCACGGTGGGACAGCTTCCTGTGGGGTTGGCAGTGTGTGTGGGCGAGCAGACATCCCGGGACGCAGTGACGTGCACCAAGTGGTACCTGGTGCAGCAGGGCGACAACTGTCCCAACATCTGGAACGCCGCCAACCTCACCATCTCCTCTTTCATGGCCATCAACCCCGGCCTCAGGGTACGCTCCGCCTCCCTCGCACTGCCCCTCCTCCCTCGCACTGCCCCTCTTCTCTTTTGAGTCGATTAAATAATTCTTCATGACCATCAGCGTTGGCCTTAGAGTGCGCCTCCCCGTTTTGCTCCACTACTTTCGCTTCTCTTCTCTTCTTCTATCCTCCTCTCTTCTCTCCTATTTTTGCCTCTCCTTTCCTCTCCTGTCCTCGCTTCTCTCCCTCGAGCTCTCTTTCCAACTCGTCTCTGTATGACCATTTTCTTTCCCCCTCCCAGTATTGTGCCCCGTTTTCCTCTCATTAGTCCCTCGCATCTCTTACTCCTTGCACCTTCTTACCCTTCTGTTCTTCCTCTTCCTTCCTTGCTCCCACCCACTCCTACCAACCAACCCACCAGTGCCAGGCGCCGTACCTGCAAGTGGGTCAGCTAGTCTGCATCGCCTCTCCAACCGCAGTCATGGTGGACAGCCTAACGGCCAACACGAGCCTCATCCCCTACAAGGTGCAGGCCAACGACACGCTCACTTCCATTGCCATGGCTTTCTTTGACCGCTGCGGGGTGACTGCGGGCGAGGCCAACATCTGCCACAGCAACAACTTCTTCCCGTGCGACTCAACCGCGCTCGCAGCGGATCAGATGATTCTCGTGCCGTGCTCTCGTAGGATCGGGCTGAATGATTGCGGGTGCGGCAACCAGCAGAACTTTGTGTGCGGGTCGGACTTCGCCACTTACCCATCGATGTGTGATGCGGTGTGTAACTTTGCCACGCCGGCCACGGCAGGCGCGTGCAACGGGTGCCAGAGCGCGTGTTTCCTGCGCAGTGGGCTTATGGCGGATACTCGGTTCCAGAGCAGGTGCAGGGTGGACCTAGACTCACTGTATTGCCCGTTCCCGTCGTGGCCTCCGCAGCAATGGTGGACCATGGCCGATTCGCCGTGCGAGTACATGGAGACATCGTGCAACTATGTGTGCACGGACACTGCTAATACGCTTGTGAAGAGCAAGGTTAGTGGCAGGTGGGTGACTTTTAAGAACCAGTGCATGTCCCAGTGCATGTGTACTCCCCGTGTTCCGTGTGGATGGAGGAGGTGTGCGACAAGCTGAACGTGCGAAGGGAGAATGTATAACAATACCTAATTTTTTATTCGTATGCTAGTTTTTTGTGTACAATATGTATATTAATTTAATACGGTAAGGTATTTTTCTCATCTTAATAAGTACTGCTTGCAAGCTTCATAGTGGCCATAAGCATTTACGGTAGATCTACACCCCTAGATTAAGGTGTGTATTGGTGGAGAGGAGTGGAAAGGTTCAGGTTAGGGAACATGCAAACCCAGTCGAGACATAGCAGACAATTTGCTTGAACCCATGCCGCCTCGCATGGGAAAGTGCCCCTTGTTCCCCCAGTAACATGTCCATAAATACAGGGGGGTCTTTAACTCAAGTTTTGGCTGGCCAGAATGTATTGCAGGTCAGCTTATGTAGTCGATGTGGCTTGACACAACAGGTCAGAGTGCTATATCAGAAGGGTTTTTTTTCTAGAAAACGCTAATGAATCTACGCCACGTATGTCAACCTTGTGCATAAAGTGGAGAAGGTTGACACGTCACATGGTTTCGCTAACGTATATGCCTCCCCAACGAGTGAAAGATCTCCACGTAATTCCTTTGGGCACGTGCCCAAATTGAACCTTTGATTGGCACGGAAGTTGTCTGACAATTGGTGGTTGGTTTTCGGCCTACTGAGCGAACCGCGGGCAAATGGACCTTCTGCCCGATGTAGGGATCTGACTCAACATCGAGCACTTTCACACTGTCAACCATGCTGAATTGTGGTTTTTAGAGAAGTTGATCAACCTTGACTGACATCCCAATCTGACCTGGGCAGAGCTCCTCCAATCGAGAATGTCCTCACGAAAACCCCACTTAGACAAGCCCATCCTATCCACGCTGGCACCTCCCTCAACCAATCAACGATAAAGAAACACTCACTTCCCTAGATCTCATCAGGCGCAGCGACTCAGCTTTACTCCCTTCTCGAATCTCGCCTCGCCCTTCTATCCATTCACCGTCCCACCCTCCAGCACGTCGAGAAGGCGCCAGCGCGACGGTGAAGGAGCCAAGACCTAGGGGTGCAGAGACGAGCAAGTAGCACAGGCGTGAAGAGCGCAGCAAAGGGAGGTGAGGAGAGTTGTGGGAAATCGCAAGCAAGGGCCACGTCAGCACGGTACCAACCACACGAGTCGCGGCTCCAGCACCTAGATTGTTCATCCCCCAACCCATCCCATCATTCTCATCCCCCCTCCCTTTCCTTCTTCCCCCTCTTCCGCATCTTTCCCCCCACCAATCAGGCCCAACCAGAACTCACACTCAACCCATCCCCCATGTCCCCCATTTCCATAAATGCGGCTCGCGTGAAGGTGCGTGAGCTTTGCGGATAGTTTTTCTTTTCTTCGTCAACCACTCCATCTGTTTCTGACCTGCAACCTTGGTGCTGGGAGTGGTCGAGGCTTAGTGACGGCCGACGGCCATTTTGATGTGTCACGCATGGAGAATCGAGAAAAGCGGCTAAGATATTTTTCTTGCTCGTTATTGCGGTGGTGTGTACTATGCTGATATGGCGGCCAACATGGCGACTCGTCTGGATTAGCGACAGCCTCGGTGCTCTCCTGTGTGCATATCAAATCGAACGGCGAGGCGAGCGGTGACATTCACAACGCACAACTACTTCCTTCACTGGTGGTCCATTTTCATCTCTTTCTCGCCTACCATCGGAAAATTGTTAATAGCCGCTTAAAGAGTTACGACTAATTTATGCAGTTGGGAGTACGTACAAACATTTTTTTCGGCCACCCCTGCCGTTTCCTTTCATCAGAATACTTGCGACTGGCTCTACTAACTTTAAAAACGGATATCAATGCTCATTAACTTCGCAGCAGCGTACTGATTGCAATTCGGACGCTGGTCGTGTGTAAACCGTCTGGGAAGGTATAAACTGCCAAGCCTCGCACCACTGTTAGCTTCGAAACCGCTTTACAGCCGGAACGCTACGGCCAACACAAGCCACAGCGACCATCTCTTCCGTACTCTGCCCTCCCCCATGACGACCGATTTGCTAGTATTTGCGCACATTGCAAAAGAGTCCAGTCCGCTGTTCAACTCGCAGCTTCTGTCCCCTTCAAGACTTCAGCGCACTTCCCCGCTCTCGTCCCCGCTCTTTCGGCCCTTTTCTCCTCCGTGTTATCGACCCGCCATCGGCGGAACGCCATCCTCGCGCCATGGCTTTCAAATGCCGCGCCGTTTCTCGCCGTTGTCGCCTTCAGCGGGAGCGCGGACCACGGTGATTGCGGCGAGCGCCTTGAGCGTCGAGCGCGGACGCACAACAGGACAGGGGCTCGGCCGCGGCCTGCCGGAACGCGCTTCATTCGGCGCGTCTAACGGCACTGGTGCGGGCAACAACGAGGCGGCCTTGGGCTCCGCGGGGAGAAGCGCGAGCAGGCGCGAAGGTGCCAGTGAGGGGACGCGACGAGCAGAGCGCGGGCGGGCCGTGGTGGCGCATGCGGTGGTGGGCGGGGAGATAGCGCTGGGTCCGGCGGTGGTGGCGCAAGTGATCGACGATCTCGGGCTCGACGCGCTGCTGTTCTTACTCACCACGGTCATCATCGTTCCCACCTGCAAATGGCTCAAGGTACGTTTTTTTCTGGAAGCGCCGTTGAATCCCGGTCTATGTTCGTAACTCACTTGAGTTCGTCGCGTTTTGTTCTCATTATCGTCTAATGCCCCAAGCATCGTATCACTCTCAACCACCCCGCACCCCCCAACCCCTGCCCTCACGTCTCCGCTTCCTCCCATTTCCTTCCCCTTCCCTTCGTCCCCGCCCTCCCCGCCCCCTCCCCCTCCCCTTCTCCCCCTCCCCCGTGCGCAGATAAGCCCGATTCTGGGGTTCCTGGGCGCGGGGCTGGTGTTTAGTCGGCTGGGCTTCGGGCAGCACGTGAACGAGATCGCGCCAGTGTCGGAGCTGGGCATTCTCTTCCTGCTCTTCCAGATGGGCATCGAGCTCTCCGTCGACCGCCTTAAAGAGCTCGCCAAGTACTCCTTCGGCCTCGGCCTCTCGCAGGTGCGCCTTCTTTGTTCTTGTTGTTACTGCCGTCACCAGCGGAGGTCTGGAGACGGGGATTGCGAGCGGGGATTGCGGGGGCTCTGTGCTGGGCGGATTTGGGGGGGCTTGGGGGGGGTATGATTCATGGGAAGTCGGCATCAGTGGAAAGGAGCCTAATGTGAGCTGCAATTCAAATCTTGACCTGGCACTTGAACAAAGCCCAAGGCATGAACTGGAACAACCACATTGGAACAAACCACGGTGTTGATAGGAGCAAAGACGAATAGAATCGTGCCTTGGTAGTCCGTAGGTCTCAAAATGGACCGTACACTCTACCTGTCCTCTTCTCTTCTCACCTCCTTCCTCCCCGGTCCACCCTTCGTTTCCCCTATCCACTCGTGCAGATCGCAGCGTGCACCCTCGCATTCGCGTTCCTGCTGCAACCAGCCGACAGCCCCATCTCACCAGCCCACCTCCTCTCGCAAGCCTCCTCCCTCCTCACCCTCCTCCCCTCCTCCCTCACCTCCCTTGTCCCCGCCCTCTCCCCGCTCCCCTTCTCCACGGATCTCCTCGCCCCCCTCGCGAACATCACGCTGGACGAGGCGCTCGTCATAGCCGTCGCGCTCTCCCTCTCCTCCTCCGCCTTCGTTCTTAATCTCCTCGACGAGCACGACGAGCTCGAGACCAAATTCGGCTCGGCTACTCTTGGCGTGCTGCTGATGCAGGACATAGCAGTCGTGCCTATCCTGGCCATACTCCCCGTGCTTGAAGGTGGATTCTCCGCCGCTGCTGGCGCTGCAGGGGACGCCGCAACCACCACCGCTACCCTCGCTGCCACCACCGCTCCCATCGCTGCTGCAACAGCAGCAGCAGGAGCCGCGGCTGGAGCAGCGGCAGGAGCAGCAGAAGCAGTGGCGGCGGGTGCAGCAGAAGCTGCAGCGGCCACAGCAGCAGCAGTGGTAGCAGACCCGTCCGGCTTCCTCTTCTCAGTCGCAGCAGCGCTCCTAGGCGGCCCTGCAAACGTCGCTCTAGCTCAGCTCCTAGTAGCAGGCGCTCTCAAGGCTCTCCTGGGCCTGGGCGCCATTCTCGTGGGAGCGCAATGGCTTATGAAGCCTGCTTTCGCAGCAGTGCAGCGCGCCAATGCGCCAGAAGCCTTCCTGGCTCTCTCTCTCCTCGCTGTCACTGGCACTTCCCTTGCCACCGACAAGCTGGGGTTTTCGGATTCTCTCGGAGCGTTCCTGGCTGGTGCGATTCTGTCCTCTACGCCTCTCAAGCATGACGTGGCGCTCTGCACGGGTCCCCTGCAGAAACTGCTGCTGGGACTGTTTTTCGTCACTACTGGCTCTTCTATCGATGTGGATTTGCTCGTGGAGCAGTGGCCGGTAATTCTGACGCTTCTTGGCGGCTTGCTGGCAGTGAAGACGGCGACAGTTGCGCTGCTGGCGCCCAGGTGGGGACTGAAAGGCAAGGATGCCATTCGCACGGCGCTGATTCTGTCGCCTGGAGGAGAGTTTGCCTTCGTGGTGCTGGCACTGGCTTGCGACCTAGGTGTTCTTCCCACTGATGTCAACCGGATTGTGCTTATCGTGGTGGTGCTATCCATGGCGCTTACTCCTGCTCTGGATGCTCTGGGGTATCTTATCGCTGGAATTGGTGGGAGGGATGAGAACGATGGGTGGCTGGATGTTGAGCTGGTGGAGAGGCGGAAGCATGGGAAGGCGTTACCTGGTGAAGGTAGGGGGTTGTTCCTGCCAGCTGGGGTGGTGGATGTAGATGTGGGGGAGGTGAGGCAGGGGGGCGGAGGAGGAGGAGAAGCAGAGGAGGGGGATATGGATGATGGGTCTTTGGAGGAACTTGAAAGGATTGCTTCTGGAGCTATCCCCCCTCCTCCGCCTCTTGAGCCCAACCCTGTGTTTGCAGCACGGAGTGAAGGGGACGGACGCGAGAGCAACAGTGGTAAGGATGTATCTGTGTCAGGGGGCGGAATGGGGGGCTCTGCAGCAGCAATCAATCCGGGGGGGGGCGCTGGGGTTTCTGGGGCGGGTGGGGGAGAGGGATTCGGGGGTGATGTGTTTGGTGGGGGGGATGGGTTTGGAGCAGCCACAGGTGCAGCTTCAGTAGCGGCAACAGCAGCAGCTGTGGCTGCTGCGACTGGGAGTGAAGAGGCATCAGCTGTTGCAATGGCTGCAGCTGCTGCGGCAGCTGCGGCTGCGGCGGCAGGATCTATGGGAGAGAGGAGGGGGAGGGTAGAGAGGGAGAGGGCTGCAAGGAAGCGGGGTGGTGCATCGAGTAATCGCCGGCGAAGAGTCGGACGAAGATGAAGACATGTTCCGAGTTAGTGAATCTCTAGTGCGGGCTAAGAACAATCTGGATGGGTGGTTGGAATGTTGATTAACAGTTTGAGAATTGCATAGGTCTGCTGGAACTGTGAAACAGCTCTGTTGTAGGCATCTGTAGTTGCGGTTGTGATGGCTGATCACATTAGGTGATGGTACTCATGTACAGTTTCTTGATTCCTAGTGTTGACCATTCGATCGTCATCTACAGGTTGAAGATAGTCTTCCATTAGAGAGCGTATTAGCACACATTACTCCATACACATACCATCCTCATGTTCCCCAAGCCCTGCCGTAATGCCCCGGGTAGAGGCCCCTCAATTAATTGGCCCCGGGGATTAACACGGGAGTAGGGGGGATGGTCCAATTGTAAGGAATTTTCTCGATACTCCTTAGCGCACCCTGCAACATCGTGTACAGCAGCAGCCGTTGTTCGCCCGTTACCGTCACCCCCCGGATATAAGCGCCACCCTAGGATAAGCGCCTGGCGCTTCTAATTGGCATATGGCGCTTATATCCCCTCCTCGATTATAAGCGCACCCCCTGAAAAAACTAGTTTTATTATAAGCGCACGTAAACTTTAAAATTTGAAATGTGTACAAAACGTTGTAATGATTTTTACTTTAGCAGGCAGATATGTTGCAGATTCGGTTCCCTTCACATTCGGACCCTGCACTGGATGCGGGTCCAGTCAGCAGGAGCTGTCAGGAGCTGGATGTGAGTCAGATTGGGTGTGTCTCCCAGCGCGCGCGAGAATTTCACAGACGACCCCATGTAAATTCGACTCGATTGAAAGGGCAAGCACGAGACCTACAGTTTGGTGTTAAAAAATATAAAAAATATGAATGTCATTTTATAAACGCCGGCGCTTATAAATTTACTCGATTATAAGCCCACCCCCTTGAAAAAACCTGTTTTATTATTGCCCCCCATGGGGGTATATCCGGGGGGTGACGGTACTGCTAACAGGGCTTCGCCGACTTCGCGCGCACTGTTTCACCAAACCTCGCACTGCTGACCTGGCCGTGTCGGCCTACGCTTCGGAACTAGCCCGAGCCTCGCTTCCAGCATAGCACTAGCTAGCTCGCACGCACCGCGTTACCGTTTGCATGTTTCGCGTATAAATGTTCGCTCATGCCTTTGCTCACATTTTGTTGTCGTTTGACACATTAGTGCAATTCTCGCTACTTCGGTTCATCGCACCTGTAACACCAATAAACATATATGTTATTATAAGCCCAGGGCCTATAGCAAACCATTGATAGTATGCCCTACCCCAAAATATGACAAAACTAATGAAAGCCCCACTATGCCTCTATTCCAAAGGATACGTGCGTAGGTGTTACCATTAGTGGTTAATGAAAAACACTGTTGCGCACTTCTCACCGTAGCAAAGCCGAAGCACGCACTGTCGAGAGTGAAGACGAAAAGACAGAAGAAATGCGAAGGGACGGACGGTTACGAGGAGCATCTGGACCGTCGGGCAGACAGCATCAGGCAGCAACAGTGGCAAGGATTCTGCCCGAACAGTTACGTAACCACTCGGAGTCGCAAGGTTGGATTTCGCTGCAATAAGGGAATGTAACCCTTAGAGTATATGGCTAGTTAGGTCGTTTCGAATTCCCCTGTACTCATACCGTATTTATATTCCTTGTACTGCATGTTTTTATTATCGCTATCATTTACATTCACTCTGCTATTGAGGTCAAGGGCCCACCAACATCACTTCTCTGCGTGCGAACCTTCCTAAGGTGATCCTGGTTATGTGCGGGTGCACAACCTGCTGTCAACCACTGCAATCACCGGCAACTCCTCGCCACACGTGAAATGGACGGGAATAAAGGGGCACACGTTCATGCTCCGCATCAGGGGCTGCATGGTTCAATACCGACCGCCAACATCAACCATCGGGAAGTTCAAAAGCCGCGCGCGCTGGGGAATCCATCTCGGTATTAGCCACGAACACAAGGCGTAGATCATCCTGGATCCCCTAAGCCAGAAAATCAAGAATGCGCGCGATGTCATATTCTACGAGCGACTGTTTCTGCAACAATTTCGTGACGACGAGCAGACGAATGCAAACCGCGTCTACGCCAACAAGGGCCACAGCTACGCCTCACTTGAGGACGAAGCAGCAGCAACAATTCTGGAGGAGGATCCTAGAGGCAAGTTCAGAAGGGGCGATCGCCGCGACGAAGACGACGGCGATGATTCACGTGAAGGAGGAACAGGCGCAACCGGAGGAGGCGCAGCAGGAGGAAGCGGAAGCCGCGGAGACACAGCACCGCTTGAACCAGAAAGCGATGATGACGACGTGCAGGAAGTCGTCACTCAACATCACCACGACAGCACTGTCACCGGTCTCCAGCTACTTGGACTACGCGCTGCCATCTCTTCTGCTCCGCGCATCATCGAACCCAAGAAACCCATGGCAAGCTCTCACAGGCCCACATGCCAAGGAGTGGCGCGAAGCAATGGATGCGGAAATCCAGGCACTCGAGTCACGTGAGAAGAGTTGAGCAAAAATGAATGAACTATGAATGAACTGAGTACAAGTACTAACCCTAATTGGGTTGTACCCCTTATGGGCTACCCCACTATAGCCTACACAATATGCAAAAGCTATATGTTCTGACACACCCCCATAGGCAAAGTGGGGGAGAACAAAGGGTCACAAGACCAGTCAAGCAAAGCAACGCAAAGCAAGCTCAGGGTGGATCACAAAGCCACCACACAGTCCGAGCACAAAGTCAAGGCCACAAGGCTAGTTCACATGCAGGAGTAGACATATATATAAGGCTAAAGAAGCAAGAGCAGGTATACATATATATATGCAAGAGTACAAGCAAGGTCAAGAGGTGAGCAAATGAGGCAGGACAGGTACAAGTCCCAGCTGAGTGCAGAAGCGCTGATGATCACAAGGCGGAAGTGTCTTGGTGAAAACATCAGCAGTATTGGCCTCAGAGGCCACGTACGCAAGTCGCAACTGACCACGCTGCTGTAGCTCACGAGCAAGAAAGTAACGGAGAGCAATGTGCTTCATTCTGTGCTCCAAGCGCTGCTCTCGACACAAGGCCAGCATGGCCTTGTTGTCTACGTACAGCACTGGAGGAGAACGAGGTGGCTCTCCAAGGTCAGTCAGCAGGTAGGTGAGCCAGCGAAGCTCCTGTGCAGCCATGGCCCCGGCGTAGATCTCAGCCTCACAACTGGAGCCGAGAACAGAAGACGAACGAGTAGCCCGCCACGAGACATAGCCGGAACCAAGACTGAAGGTGTAACCCTGTGACGACCGCTGCGTAGCCTGGTCGTCAACCCAAGTAGCATCCGCGTGCCCAGTAAGGACCACTGGACTCTGCCCTCCAAGCACTAGCCCCATGCCCGACGTACTGCACAAGTAGCGCAACACCCTCTTCGCTGCAGCCATGTGCTCTGGTCGGTGTCTCCCAGGAGCAACATAGCGTGCAAGAATGCTAAGAGGGTATGCAAGGTCAGGTCGTGTGTAGGTCATCAGGTACATGAGGCAGCCAACAAGCTCTGGGTACGGGCCACTCGACTCTACGGACTCATCCGAAGGCAGAGCTGAGAGCGAGTGGCGAGTAGACAGAGGAGTGGCCTGAGGCGAGGATTACGTGAAGCCGAAGCGCTGAAGGATCTGCTGCACCATGTGTGACTGAGTCAAGGTAATGGTGCGGCGTGCTCTGTCCCGGGTGATCTGTAATCCAAGGTAGCTGTGCAGTTCACCCAGGTCTGTGCACGTGTGTCTCTTCTGCAGCTCGGACTTCATGTAGGCGAGTCCAGCACTGTCAGCTGTGGCAAAGACAAAGTCGTCGACGTACACGAGGATGTAGAACGGCGGTAGAGAGGTGTTAGTGCGCAGAAACAACGACTGGTGGGCAGTAGAGGGAGCAAACCCAAGAGCCGCAAGCGTAGTCCTCAGTGTGTCATGCCACTCACGTGGTGCCTGGCGGAGACCGTAGACTGGGCGTCAGAGGCTCCACTGGGTGCCAGAAGGGAAAGTCCCAGTGAAGTCAGGTGGACGGCGCAGCCAGATCTCCTCGTGCAGGCTACCCTGCAAGAAAGCAGTGCTGAAGTCAAGAGAGTGAAGCTCGTAGTCGCGCTGAGCGGCTATGTGCAGCAGCACCCGAAGAGTGGTCATCTTCGGGGTGGGGGAGAAGGTCTGAAAGTAGTCAACTCCCTGCCGCTGACTGAAGCCACGAGCCACGAACCGCGCCTTGAAGACAGGTGGAGAGCCCGACGGCCGCTTCACCCTGAAGATCCACATGCCACTGACGATGTTCGCCCCAGGAGGGGGAACCGCGTCAACGTAGGTGCCAGTGGACTTCCAGGAAGCCATCTTTGCATCCATAGCTGCCTGCCACTGAGAGGAGTAAGGACCCTCTACGGGCTCCGCATAAGAGCGCGGAGTCGGGATGTCTAGTGCATCCGGATCTCCCTCACGGGCAAGTAGTACGGACGCGAGATGAGGTGAAGCAGCGGCCAGACACTGGAACTCCTCGTGCCTGGCCTCAAGGACGTCTTTTCCAAGAGCACACTCACCCCCGACGGACGGAGGACAGACAGACGCAGACTCAGAAACAAGACTAGCAGCGTAGTCTAGACGACAGCGAGCAGCAAAGTCGACGACCTCAGCAACAAGAGCAGACGCAGCAAAGGACTCAAAAGAGGGGTTAGTGACGACATTAGCAAGGAGACGCGTGACAGTAGGACTAGCAGCACGAAGAGAGTCCGACTCTGGGTCGGCAAGTGCTGGAAGAGAGGACTCAGGAGGAGAAGGCAAAGGGGAAAGCAGAGGAGCAGTGGACGGACGCAGAGACATCCGGTGCGTGCCAGGGACAGGAGGAGGACGCTGACGCGAACCACGACCACTAGCCTGAGCAGTACGAACAGGCGACGCGGGACGAGACGCAGGCTCACGACGCTCAGCAAGACTAGCAGCGTAGTCTAGACGACAGCGAGCAGCAAAGTCGACGAGCTCAGCAACTAGAGCAGACGCAGCAGTGGACTCAAAAGAGGGGTCAGTGACAACAGTAGCAAGAAGACGCGTGACAGTAGGACTGGCAGCACGAAGAGAGTCCGACTCAGGGTCGGCAAACGCAAGAAGAGAGGACTCAGGAGGAGAAGGCAAAGGGGCACGCAGAGGAGCAGCAGACGGACGCAAAGACATCCGGTGCGTGCCAGGGACAGGAGGAGGACGCTGACGCGAACCGCGACCACTAGCGCGAGCAGCACGAACAGGCGACGCGGGACGAGACGCAGGCTCACGACGCTCAGCTAGACCTCCAGTAGGACCAGTGTAAGGAGAGAGAGCAGGCAGTGGGGAG